GGGGTGGATGGATGCATGGATGGGTGGGGGGGTGGATGGGTAGATGGATACATGGGTGGATGGGTCCATGGATGGATGGGTGGGTGAGTGAATGGATGCATGGTGGGGGGATGCCGGGGGGAGGGGATGGGGGGATGTGAGTGGATGGAGGAATAGGTAGGTGGGTGGGCAGGTGGGTAGATGAGTATGTGGTGGGTGGGTGGATAAATGCACAGAGGGGTGGGTGGATAAGTGTATGGGTGGGTGGTGGATACACGGGGGGCGTGGATAAATGCATGTGGGTAGGTAGAGGAACGGGTAGATGGTGGACAGGTGAGTGAGTGGGTACATGATAGGCGGGGAGATGGGAAAATGGATAAATAATGGAGTGGGTGGGTGGGCAGGAGGGTAGGAGGATGAAGAGGGGTCATGGGTGGCTGGATAGATGACCGGGTAGGTGAATGGGGTGAGACCAGATGACAGAAAGAAGGCAGTGGGAGGAGAAAGGCTCTCTTGTGCTCTCTTCCCTGAGAGATTCTGAGATGAAGAAACCAGAGTCCCTCAGTCGCCGGCCCCTGCAGGCCTGCTCCAGCCACGGCTCTCTTCCTGCTCCATGGAAGCCCAGTGCCTGGGCGTGAAAGCTGCAATAGCGAGGTGCCTAATTAGTGCGGGGTGAGTGGGGAGTGAGTCACCCAGCTCAGTACGGCTCAGTCACGACTCTGCCACAGGAACAGCCAGCAGACGGGTGGGGTGAACAGCTCGGGGCGGTGAGGGGGCAGCAGAGCCTGCGGCAGCTGGGATGGGCCAGGGACAAGCAGATGCCATCTGGGAGTCACCCACCAGGCGCTCCCTGGCCGCTCAGAGAGCCTCTCAGAAGGAAGCTATGGACAGGAAGCCTGTGGACAAGAACCCCTCCGTCCAGCCCCGAGCCTTCCCGCCACTGGCCTGCCAGGCCGCCCTACCCGACAGGTTGGTGGGGCTCATCTGCTGGGCCAGGATCGCCCTGAGCCTCTTGATCTCCTCCTGGTACTCCCGGAGGAGCGCGTCCTTGGGGTCCTCGTTGATGCGTGGCTTATTCTTGATGTTCTTGGCCCGGTTGGCGTAGCGCAGCGTGCTGAGCGTCTCGTCGTAGTTGTTGTCCGCGGGCGACAGGCAGGCCACCATCAGCGTCTTGGTGTTGCCGCCCAGTGAGTCCTGCAGCAGCCGCGTCAGCTTCGAGTCCCGGTAGGGGATGTGCTTGCAGCGCCCGTCCACCAGGGCCGAGATGACGTTGCCCAGCGCTGACAGCGACAGGTTGATCTTGGTGGCCTCCTTGAGCCGCTCCCCGGTGGCACCTGTCTTGGACTGCCGCTCGCTGCCTGCCAGGTCCACCAGGTTCAGCTTGCCCGCACGGAGGTGGTCCTTGCCCCGCTCATCTGCAGACAGACCAGGCAGAGGGCTGAGTGCCTTCAGGGGAGCCCCAGAGAGGGCAGTCGGCCGCCGAGCACCGAGCACTCACCTCCCACCTGCTTCCGGGCCAGCGGCTCAGGAACCCCACCAAGGAGGGGCTATCGTCCTGCCCCAGTTACAGGTGAGGAAACTGAGGCTCAGGGTGTGGAACCTGCCCAAGGTCACGCAGCTGCTAAGAAGTGGAGCCCAGGCTGAGTCCAGGGAGCAGGGTCCTGGGCTTGTACTCTTCTCCGAGGGCAGCAGGCTCCTTCTGCTTCCTCGACCCCTCGGTTTCCAACTCCCACCAGCTCCCATGAGGCCAAAGATGCAGAGTTGGGCAGGGGGGGGGTCACCAGGGAGTCATGGTTTTTAAAGCAAAAAATTTCTGCCTTGGAGACTCTTTGGTCCCCAACCCAGTCCTGCCACCTCCTTGCTGTGTGACATTAGCAGAACCACGCGCCTCTGTCTCAGTTTCTCACAACAAAATGAGACTAACAGCCTCACTGGGGCTGGCTGCGGGAGGAATGAAGTACAGCAACAGCGCATTCTTTTCTTTTCGAGTTTTTGCCTTGGGGTATGTGCACTGCAGGGGGGTCAGACAGAGACAGTGAGAAATCACCCCCGGGGGGAATGGTCACACCACAATCCCTTCTCCTCCATTCTCCTCCCAGGTCTTGGACATGCACATATACCTGGTGTGATTTTCTTTTCTTTTTTTTTGGAGAGGTTTTTGCTATAGGGCGCATGCGCTCGGCAGAAAGACGGAGACAGAGAGACAGAAAGTGAGAAATCACCCCCCAGAGGGGATGGCCATGCCTCAATCCCTTCTCCTCCATTCTCCTCTTGGGATCTTGGGCATACACGCACATGTGCCTGGCGTGAGTTTAAGCCGCTGCCAGGCCTAGGACTCGAACTGCGGTTGACTACATGGGAGTCCAGTGACATAGCCATTAGCTAACTGCAGGTCCCCCTGGTGTGATTTTCAAGGCACCGGGTCTGGGACTCAAACTGCGATGGGCCATGTGGGAGTCCGAGCAATATAACCGCTACATCATCTGCTGGTCCCTTGCTAGCACCTTCCAGAGTCTACACTGGCCCAGCACATGGTGAGTATTTGTTTCCCCCAAGGCAAGGCCAGCTCTGCAGTGACGGTGACTGCAGCAGGGCAGACCTGGGTGTGGACAGTGACAGGACAGGGTACAGGTGGGGAGCCCCGGACTCAGGAGGACAGGTTGAAGGTGTGGCCCAGAGGGGCCAATCCCGATTCTACGCCTTGGTGTAAAACTCAGGGGACAAACTTCACTTGACCCTAAGCCTCAGCCCTTCTCTCAATGAAATGCGGTAGAAACCCACCTTGAAGGGTCACTGTGAGGGTCACGTGGATACATTCGAAGAGCGAGGACCATGCCTGGCCCAGGAAGCAAGAGCTGGCTGCTCTCAGCACCATTCCTAAGTCTACTGTCACCAGCCTAGACCGCAAACTGTCCCACATGAGACGAAGGGACTCCTTCATGTCTGCCATCTGCAGACGGGGCCCCACCCTGGCTGGGGTATGGGGAGGAAGAGTAGAGAGAAGCCCTCGGCTTCCCAGCGGCCCAGCCCTGAACTGGCCTGTCATGTCCGTGAGCACAGCAATCCCGAGCAGAGACGTGAGAAGGGTGACTTTTTCAGGGGACGTGGGCACGTGAAGGGCGTGGTCCTTCAGGCTGCTAGAAAAGCACCAGCGCCCTGGACGGCCCTTGGCAGAGCGCACCATGCCTGGGCCCCAGGGGCCCACTCTGCGGAAAGTGCCAGCACACAGAGAGGGCTGTGCGCACAGAGGTCCCTCACGCCATAACGTGCAGCACTGGGAACATGGAGACTACGGGGACCCTCGCAGAGGCCAGGCTGGGCTGTCCTCAGTCACCCACACGGTCACGAAGCATGGGGGTGACAATAGGGGTGCTTATGACCTTGGAGGAAATGACACCAGAGGGAAAACCCCAGAGTGGAATACTTCAGTGGTGCTAAAACGCTTCATAGGGAAACATAAATAAATAAGTAAACATGTCTACATGTGAGTTAGTCGTGGTTATCAGAACCAAGAGCGATTTTCTCCTCTTCTCTAAATTCTAAATATCCTTATGAGCTCGCATTATTTTATAAGGAAAGCAATAAATACCTTTTTAATAGCCCATCTGCAGGCAGCCTGTCCCCTCCTTCACACAGCCCTGCAAAGCCCAAGGGGCACCCTCGGGCTCCTCCCTCCTGACCTGTCCTCAGGCATCCTAGCCCCTGCCCCTCCACCAGCTGCAGGAGGTGAGGCCGAGACACACTGAGACCATCCTTCACGACGAGCACCCAGGGGACACTCGGGCCGATGGCCCCTTGCCCAGCAGGCCTGGAGCCGTCACCATGGATGGGCAGTGTGGGCCAGGACTCTGCCTCTGGGACAGTGCCAGAATTATGTTCCGCCTTGGCCTGAGGCTCCTCCTACTCCAGCGCTACATGGAATTCTAGTCACGGCAAACCGCAAATGTGAAGGTAGCTGCAGTGATAGGAGAAAAGCCGAGCTCTCAGGGAGGCCTGGGTTCAAATCCCAGCTCCGCTGACTAGCAGCTGGCAGACCTCCAACAAGCAAACCTCTTCATCCCACAAAGCCTCGGTGTCCTCAGCTGCCTCTAGGCCTCAAGTGGGGTTTAAGTGGAGCCGAGTGGTAAGGCGCTTAGCAGAGCACCTGGCCAACAGGTGGCCCAAAATAAACCTACGTTTCGTTCCTTCTTGTTCTCAAATTCTTCTAGAAAGAAAGGACAGCGAGGTCTCTGAGGAGTGAACAACATCGCAGAGAAAGGAAAGAACGTGAAAGGTCCGAGTGACACCGTGATGGGCACTGTGCTGTAGCAGCCCTGCCACGAGGCCAGTTACGTGACCTCCATTTCCACATCATAAAATGGGGGTGGCATCAGCGTCTACCCTATGGGGCTGATGTCAGGAGTAAATGAGGCAAAGCCCGCTAACTGCCTGACACACAGCGTCAGGTCCACCGGAGTGATGGGGTTTCTACGGTGGCAGCAGCCACCGCCGGTCCTGGACGTGCGTCCCGAGCCTCTCTTCCCAGTTTCCAAAGGAGCTCGGAGGAGGATCGGGTTGTCCAGCCCACCTCCACCGGCCGGCCCCACGCACCCACGGCATAGATCTCGATGCTGATGGTGAAGATGGAGTGGGACCGCGAGGAGTCCTTGTTCATCAGGGTGTAGCCGACCGCGCGGTTCTTCCAGCCCGTCTCCATGATGCGCTCACACTGGGCCACGCTGTGCACCGTGTGCATGGACAGCCCCTTCACGTACACCCCCTTCTCCGGGTGCTCCTTCAGCTGTGGGCAGAGGGGCCAGGTCAGGGGTGCGGCTCCCACCTGTGGGGTGAGGATCCCACCTGCAGTGAGGGGACCCTGTAACAGGGAGAGCCAGCCTCAACCTCCTTGTTGTGGGACTTGGCGCCAACTCCTTAACCTGAGCCTCAGGTTCCACCTCTAAAACGGTAGGAGAGGGCCAGCAGGTGGTGTGGAGGGTAAGGCACTGGACTCCCAGATGGCCAGCTGCACGTGAGTCCCCGACCCAGCGGCTTCAGGATCACGCTGGGTACGTGTGTGCAAAATCTCAAGGAGAACGGAAGAGGTGGGACTGTGGCATGGCCATCCCTCCTCCCGAGGTGATTGCTCGCTCTCTCGCTCGCTCTCTCTCTCCAGCAAGCGCATGTGCCCCTATAGCAAAAGCCTAAAAAGAAAAAAAATGGTATGAGATCTACCTCATGGGGGTATGGGGGGATTCCGTAAATAAGGACCCGCCTGCCCGTGTTCAGTGCCCGTCAGTGCCAGCAGCGGTACGTGCGGCTGATGTTGGCGCAGGGCTGCCACCCTAACCTGAGCATCTGAAATCCAAAATCTTCTGAGCACCGACTCCATGCCACAGTGCTGTCAGTCACACAAGCACCACTCGGCCTCGGTTCGCATGTTGCAATACACAAGCAGGCCGTGTGTGGAGGGTACATGAGAGACGCAGACGAACTCCCTGTTTAGACATCCATCCCCTCCCTGAGCAGCTCAATACGTATAAGCACATATTCAAAAAAATGACACTTCTGGTCCCCAACACTTCATTTGTCTGTCATTATTTAGGTTTCTGTCATAGGGCGCATGAGCTTGCCAGAGAGAGGGAAAGCAAGAAATTACCCCTCAAGGGGATGGCCGCGCCACAATCCCTTCTCCTGCATTGTCCTCTCGGGATTCTGGGCATGCACACATGTACTCAGCATGATTTTCAAACCGCCAGGCCTGGGACTTGAACCGTGGTCATCTATATGAGAGTCCAGCCTTAACCACCACACTGCCTGCTGGCCCCCCTCAACCAATACTATTACTGTGCAGGTGGTCGCAGTCTGCGAGCTTCGGCTCCCTGGGGCTAAGCCCGTGGTCACCCAAGCACCCAAGAACTGAGACCTGTGCAACTCCTCCCCCACCCCACCCCCACCCCCGGTTCATAAGGCTCA